ATCCATCGAGCAAATCCGTCCAACCTCGTGCCGTTACATCCATCGTGCCAGTACATCCATAGTGCCAGTACATCCATAGTGCCAGTAGATCCATTTCGGGCCAGTTCATCCAGCGTGTAACCCACACACGCACACACTCTGGCGAACGTCCAAATCATTAAACATCTTCAAACAAATGCTTTGCTTGTGTCCGCATTGTGAAGATGCAACGACCACGAAGAGGGAGCCAGTTTTTTTTCTTCAATTCTTGTGCAAATGTGAAATATTGGTTGGAAGTAGTTCATGGTTATGAGCGCTAAAGATGTGTCTTCACACAATAAAGTAATCGGAAAAGTAACGATTACTTCTTTAAGTAATGTCCAATTACTTTTGCCGTCGAGTAATCAAGTAATCTAATCGAATACTTTTTAGCCAAGAGTAATAGTAATTGTAATCGATTACTTTTTTTTAGTAACGTGTACAAGACTGGCTGGGCGTCGGCTTGGTGTAAATGCGCTGGCCGCGAACGTAGGCTTATAAACTTCGGCAGCAAGAATATTACGCGGCTCTAGTGTTCCGGTACGAGCAACAGAGGTGACACGATCTGCTACGACTAGCTACGACCACCCTCCGCAGCGATGCAGGCGTCGAAGGAGCGCAACCTGTGTACTACGCACTTAGTCGCCGTCGCCCGCCCGACGCAGGTCGTTTGGCATTCAGGGCGTTCCGCCCCAGGTTCTTCGTATGTACTTGGAACCGAGTATTATTTCCTGTGCTTGTGTATGTGCTCAGTGGCTGGATATGGACCTTATAGAGCAGTTGTTCAGACTCAACAGCTACTCAAAGTTGACGGCGGAGGGGCTTGCAGCAACGCTTTCGGTTGGTGCACAGGTGCGACGACTACACGGATAAATTTTAAGATTGCTGCTCGCAAGGTGGGCCATTGTCGCTTTATGTTGACACGATTTTGAGTGTAAGTGTTCCGTGCAAAGGCGAATCTATTGCGTTTCTAATCCATCTTTGTTTTTGTTGTTTTTCGCACGCACGACCGACTGCTAAGCAAATGCTTCTGTACCGATCACGGAGTGAATGTCTTCGGCCTTACATTGCGGAACGCCCAATAAAAAATCATATTCGTTCAGCGAGAAAACTTCCCTTTCGAGTGACCTTCTGATTGATAATTTCTCCCGTACTTTAGTGCTTTAATCAACACGATCGATTAAGTTTGCTTCCCTAGTTAGGACATTTTTGTGCCCCATGCGGCACTAATGGTTGGCACGATGTATGCCACCGGTGGTATTGTGAATTGGTTTACTTCCAAAGCTAACAGTGTGACAGGGGGGATCATTCAATTTGCTAAAAATCTGATATGGGAATTTCGTTGCATAACTAGCGTTTTACGTTTAAGATTGATAAGAAACATGCTCATGTGATGATGCATGTCTACAGCATAAGCTTTGCAGATCCAGAATGGACGTGCTATAGGCTACAGCCTCAAGATGTTTAATGGACCAAATTGGTGATTACACGGCAATAAATATTGTGGTGGAAAACTGCCCATTGACTCGGTGAGTTTTGATCTTGACCATTGGTGTGCTGTTGGCAAATTAGGTAATGGCACACCTTTTCCCTGATCATCTGGCTTCAAGGGATATTGCATCTAGATGTGCTTAAATAACTTTATTTCAAGGTTCAACGGACCCTTCTGCATCATTACATGAAGGCGGTCTCAAGCCACAAGAAACAGCAGTGAATATACAATGCATAATAACAGGCACCAGTGTCCAGGCATATAGTCCACAGAAGCCAATTTGAGCCTAAAAATTTTTGTTTTGTTTAGATAGTTTGCATTTGGTGTATAATCCGCAGGGCCCGATTTCCGCGCCCAGTGCATAGTCTGCCAAGCTGGTGCGTTGCGTCTTCGTGCTTTTTTTCCTGGGTGGTATTTTCTTCAGAAGTTCTTCGGCAAACACTATTGAGCCTGAAGAACTGCTCTTGAGGCCCATATCCAGCCACTGAGAACACACAAGCACAGAAAATAACACTCGGTGCCAAGTACGAACGAAGCAGCTGGGCGGAAGGCCGTGAATGCCAAGCGAGCAGCGTCGGGTGACGGCGACTGACTGCGTTGCGCCCTTTCGATGCCAGCATCGCTGCGGTGGGTGGTCGTAGCGAGATGATCTTCAAGCAAGAAATCTTGCCATACCATAGTGAAGATATGCGTGCAAGTGTTCGATGACGTGGACTCTCTCACGTTGGTGCAGTTGTCATCAAGAAAGGTACATATCAACAATGTTGCGTGTTTGAGGCTGAAACTAAGACGCATACTTATCTAAACCTAAATTTATCGGTCTGCGGCTACAAACATTTTCGTTGACGTTGCTTAGATGACGTAACCGTTCAGGCCTCGCAATAAATGGTGTTGCAAACTCTTCGGTTGTGTATGAAAACCTATTTTTGCCCTAATAGAAGACATTTTCAAAAGGACACGTGTCTTCTGTGGATACATATCTTCCAATTTACAATGCAGAGGCACACAGAAAATTAACTGCGTACATCTACCTCTTAGCATAAGCACCTTTTGCCATTCATTCTTGAGCACACTCAGATATCAGCTTAGGTTTCTCTTGTTTTAGAAGCTTTGCCCTGTTCTGTAAAAAGAAAACAGTTAAAAAAGCTTTACCTTCGTTTTCCTTCTCGCATTTAATACAGACTTGTTTGTCAGCAGATCACACACACAGCAGATATCACCGTGGCACATATAACTCGAATAACGGATGAGACTATTGCTATTACAATAAAGCTTTCCACAAGAGCCAAAACGAGGCTTGTGGGGGTGCACAAGCACATCGAAATGAGATTGGCGCTTCCGGGGCTTGTTTACATTATGCGTAAAAACAGGACGATCGGCGACCAGCTGATCGCAATATAACACCAAGGTAACCGATGTTTCGATACATAGAACGCGGGATAAAGACCTCAATCGTCCCTTGTATGCTGTAGTTGTCATACTTCCCATCCAACCGCTTTTTAGCACAATTAACTAGAACAACCGAAGAGTTCGCAACACCTTTTAATGCGAGGCCTGAATGGTTACATCATCTAAGCAACGTCAACGAAAATGTTTGTCGCCGCAGACCGATAAGTTTAGTTTTATATAAAGTACGCGTAATGGTTTCAACGCGCGAACATTGTTGATATGTACCTTTCTTTGGACCCGCGTACATTCGGTTCAACGTGATGACAGCTGCACCAGCGTGAGAGCTTACGTCGAACACTTGCGCACATGTCTTGACTATGGCAAGATTTCTTGCCTTCGATTGGCTTGAACACTTCATCTGTAGCATCACGGTAGGTCTTGGTTGAAACGATGATCGTCTCGCACACGGCAACAAACAGAGAACGACATGCTTTGTTTTATTTATACGCTACCGGTCTACGGGCGCCGCAAATCTATCCCCCTCTCGTCCGCCATGTTGGATCGATCGGAGCGCCCCCTATATTCGCTGAAACTTTTCAATATCGTTTAGTTTAGCGTTAACGCGAGGCCGTACATCTGCGCGCTATGCAAAAAGAAAGTTTCGAAAGGAACGCGAATATCTTTCCACCGGTAAGTTCGTGGATTGTTAAACTTCACGAAACTGCTCTGATGATGTAACCGTGTTTGGGACCTCGAGGGTCTGCCTGCATGATCCGCCCCTTGCGGCAGCCAGAATGTATGGGAAAATGGCGGACCTTTTCCTCTAGAGTTAGTATGTATGATCTCTATGCGAGCCGTATACCGCCGCCGTGCGTTGTTGCCAGATCTTACTGGAAGTCGAGACGCTGCGTCGTTCAACTCCGCAACGCAAGGAGAGTGAGGGGCGGGCGTACTCCTCTTCCGCGGGGGTCGAAAGAGCGGGAGTTTCAAATGTGGAGAGGTTCTGACTCCGACTAAATTACGTCCTGTGGCGTAAATATTGATAAAAAAAATTTTTTTTCTTCGCGGAAAATTTGTTTTGTGACATGCTTGTCCCAATTAGGCTGTTTAAAAAAAATACTTTTTTTTTCTTCGCAGTTACCCTTTAATAGAGAGTTTCAGTACAGTTCCGACACCTCCGATACCTTTCGATAAGGATACCCGATTACGACACGATGCACGCGCAAAGGCGGCGGCGGAGTATCGGGTATCGGTATCCGACTCGTCGGAACGATCTAACTAAAACTCTGTATTATCACTTCGCTGTCAACTCATGGCGTGCGTTGAGCATCACGTCAGCGTCCATTGCGGCACTGGCTTTGCTGCAAGGCGCGAACTTTCTTCCTCATACACTTTGCGCCGTCAAATTTGTAGATGGTTTCTTGTCTTGCCAAGAACAAGCAGAAATGACCACCAGCAAGACGCGATGACGTCACTAATCGCAAAGCAAGATGCGATGACGTCACCTGGTCAGGCCCACATTTCAGGAGCCGGAGTCACACTGCTCCTACATCGCCTGGAACATATAACAGCACATAAAGGACGAGGACAAAGGAAAGGAACACACACTGCGCGTGTGTGTCTTGTGTGTTCCTCTTCGTCCTCGTCCTTTATGCGCTGTTTATGTTCCGCATGTCTTCGCACCAACTAGCCCAGCTCACCACTCCTTCTGCTCCGACGTCATACGAAAGACGCGGTGCTTGCTACAGACACGATGACAGAATCATCTGCGAACGCTCCTCACGCGTGTTCCATGCATGTTTGTTTCACGCGTACGTACGCTCCGAACATGTCTGCCGACAGTGTCTGCATCACCAATGAGACAGCGCCGTCGTTCGAGGAAGAAAGCAGGACTCAGACAGTGTCTGCACGCTGTCTTTCGTATGATGTCTTAGCAGGGTGACCGGGTCTTTAAGCTGTACGTGACTCTGTAGAGTCATGACGTTACGCCATGGCGGTGTGTCGCTAGCTGTTCAATGGCGCGTGCACGAGCGCTTCTTCCAAAAACGGGACTTCGTGCATTCTGAGAGCGTACAGTTATATGGGGCTAAACCAACTCGAATGTTGACAATGGGCTGGTTTATATCAACCGCCAGAAACAGTAACTAAATCTTTCAAGGAGAGAGAGAGGGGGGGGGGGGGGGAGCGAAGGCTTCTGGTGGCGCTAATTGCCGTCCGGATTGTTGACCCATGGGTAGTTTTTAGGACAGGTCGTTCCGCAGATCCTCATGTAGCGTTCTTTTCCGAGCGTCGTCGTTGGGTAATGGCAAGTTTTCTGTTTCGGACACGTGGACTCGGGCAGGTCTTCTTTGGTGCAGCGGCGCTGAGCGTAAATGCTTCTGGACTTGGGTTCTCTCATGAAGTCGATCACTTCGGACACGGTGACCAGGTACACGTCTTCCTTTTCCATGAGCCAGTCCACGAATCTTAGGTAGCCCTTCTTTCGTTCCTCGTACATGAGCCACGCCTCGTGAATGAAGACGGGAAACGGAGCCCGGTTGGTGTTGTAGAAGCTCTCGAAGTTGAACCTGCGTCGAGGGTGTAAACGACGGCGGATCAGAAACCATACACACACGTTACTATAACCGGCGCCTTGGAACGCTTCTTAGACTGGGGCTTCTAACGTCCTGTCCCGCCCTATGGATACAAAGTCGTCCCGAAGTTAAAACGAACGACGTCACGGATGCCGGCGTGCCATGCTGTCGGAAGTCGCGATCCTGACGGTTAATCGTAGATAACCTGGCAAGAAAGGCGAGGAAACGCGAGGGTCACTGTCATTGCAGCGTCCCAACTTCGGGTTTTTAGGCTTCCCTGACCTGTCTGAGTGCAGAGCGACGTGCAGTAGGACAGGAGTTTTATACATCCCCCTGTGGTGCTGCACTCGGCCACCAGGATCGCGGCAGGCAAGAGCTTCGCACTTCTATGACGTCATCAGGCGGAAATCGAGAAACCGCATTTGAGTACGCAGAAAACACACCAGTCGGAGACGCGTTCCAGGCTCCAGAGTACAAATGAGCGAGAATTTGCCAAATATGTGTGCAGAGTAATGCGGAGGTGAATGACAAGAAAATGTAATTGTGTTTGCAAAGCGCAGTTGTATATACTCCCTTCGAAATTCAGTGCGGCAACTTTGATCACCATCCCCAATTCCGTCGTTGATTTCAGTGTATGGCATCTGTGCGAAACTAATGGCGGCCTTCTTTTAGCTGATGAAGGAAGAAGTTGAAGATACGACCAAACGGATTATATACGAGGCCTGTACGTTCTAAAAATTGCAGTGCAACACCAGGCACAAAGTAGATACAACGGCTGCGTAGCGTTTATTACAAAGGGTGACCCAATAAGTTTCTTTTCACAAGTCTGGCTCTGCAGCCTTTTGATAGCGGAAATTTAATTAAGGGGCCTATGGGTCACCACCTTGTACTGGTCACTTCTTATGTTCACACAATTGTAACTGAAACAAACCAAGAAAAAATTACGAGATGATCAAGCCAAGTTTCACCTGCCATTGACGTACGAAAGTGGCAGTGTCCAAGAAAATGCAGTTTCATGACCGCCATCCATTTGGCGAAAGTGAAAGTGTTTTTTAAGCCCGCAGATGGCACTGAATTTCGGAAAGAGTATATTACGTTGAATTAAGCGCAGCCTTGTATTACTTGAAGAAAAGCATAATTGACCGCTATAATTAAAAAGGAACCGTTACTTCTCCGATTACTTCAGAATTTCAAAACGACAGATTTTTCTGCTGGTTTGAAAATGGGTATTTGTACTGTCCCATATTAAATCAGAGTCACAGAAATAGGGAATACTTTTTGGTGAACCATTTTTTTTCCGGTGATTTGGTTCCATGATTTTTTGGAAGGAAACTTGTACGAACAAAAGAGGTCATAGGAAACGGAAGGGAAAAAAAGAAACGGCTACGAGTAATTTTAATACTACTACAGGTAATCAAATTACACTTGTGATTATTTCCTAACAAGTAAATAGAATGGTCCCGAAATTAAATTACCCCAAAGAGTAATCGATTGCGAGTAATTTCATTACTTGTTATTTGTACCGTACAAGTATATAATTCAAGTGTAATGAAATCAACGTATTGCTGTCACGTACCTTAGGTACTCAAAGGTATCACTGGAAGTTTCCGGTGGCGGGTGGCAGGCGTCCGCCATCGCACAGGGCCCGTATTTATCGACTCCTTCCTCCTCATATTTTCTGAACAGATAGTTTAGGGGAACACTCCAGAGGCCGGGATAGGTGTCGTTGGGACACTTGGGCACCATGCAAGGCTTCTGGAAACCGTAGTCGAGCGTGTATGGGAAGACCGGGGCGTCGTCTGGGCCGTCCCTCTTGTGGATCAGCGTGCAGTCGTAGTCGAGGTGACGGTGCAGCATCCGGAAACCGGCATCGCCCCCGGTGAAGAGGAAGGGACCCCGGAGACCCCTGATGTCTTGTGCGGGAACGTTGGCGTACTTCTCCACCATCAGCCTCTCGTCGACGACTTCGGCCTCCCAGCCTGTTGTGTTTAGGTCATTCCAATAGTTTTGAGATAGATCTATAGAGTGGCTTGGGGGAAAAGGAGAGAAAATCATTGTTATTTTTTTGTTTTTTTTTGCGGGATACGGTGCTCTTGCTCATTGAAGTTATTATAGCTTTGGCAAGGTCTGAATCCGAGGGTCGCGAAAAAATTGCCTCAGATCTACATGACTGACAAACTCTGACTTTAGCGAAAACCATCGAATGTAAGACGGCAGAATTTTTTCGCGGTGGCCCGGCCTACGACCTCACTATAAAATTTACCTCAGTAGTGATCCAGTTGGTCTATAATTAGTCGCAAACGACAAGTTCAATGATGGATGCAAAGTGCGTGGTGGAAAGACCTCCCTAATTCCATTGTCACCGAATTCAAACCCCGCTTTCGTGGTCTTTTTTCTAGTCATTTAGTCATTATGTGATTTCTGTTCGATCGTTTCTTGTTTCGGACCCCACTGGGTCTGTGTGATTCGATTTGATTATTGATTGATTTGTGTTTTTACTTGAATTTATTTGGTTGTGCAACCACCAAACCCCATAAATTTGTCCGTCTGTACGTCCGTGCATTTCTCCGCTAAATTCAGCGGAGAAATAGACGTCACGCTACCTAAACACCAGCTAATTTAACGGGAGCATCGACCCGTCCCATAACCTAAACACTTATTCAGTTTCACCGCTAAACTTAGCACGAAAATCGATACCACGTGTTCTATACACCAATTTATTTTCACCGCTAAATTTAGCGGGAAAGATTACTCCATGTGACAGCTATACGCAAATTTAGTTTCTTCCGCTAAAATCGAAGGTGGCAATAATGTCACACGGCTTGGAAACCATTTCAGGTTTCCCGCAAAATGTAGCGGGGCAATTGACGTCACCCGACCTATAGACCAACTCAGTTTCCGCCACTAAATATAGCGGGAACATTTACGTAACGTAACATGAAATAATGCTAAGTGAATTGTGTAGCTGAATTTAGCGGATAAACTAATGAAACGTACGCTCCTCCTCACTACCCGAAACGAGTGCCTAAGGTATTTTAAAAACGAATTGAAATGATTGGTCCTTAAAGGGGAGCTCCGGCGGTGTTTTTAGTTACTCCAGCGAAACACATTTTCGAAATATCCAGGCTTAAAGGGGCGATGCAACGATTTTTTGTATTTTGCGCGAATACTGCTTAGAACGGACCCTGACGTTAATGACCTGTGAAATACCCGTTGGTTTTTCACCACACGCTATCGAAGTCGCAGAAAAAAAATAAAAAAAAAAAAACGAGCAGAGTTCACCCCCTCAACTCGAAGCCAGAACAAGCGGTCACGTGATCTGGAGCCGATTATATGCCGCCAATGTTGATCATAGCCATGCGCTGGGGTTGGCAAGGCACAGGACACGCGCTGAGTTGTAGACATTGTTATGGTTCGGCTGTTGTCGGCATTGCAGCGATTGGACACAGGACACTACCCGAATGCTTCTCGCGCTATCGATTATCACGAGCCCAAATCGAGTGTCCACGCAGTGCTCGGGTCCAATCTATGAGCTGCATTCAAATATCGTCACTGGGCGGTACTGCTACCGCCCTGCTACGTCATCAGGTTTTGCGAAGGAGAGATTGAATGAAAACACTCGGTTTTGTCCTCGAAATTACAGCGCAACAAAGAAGTTTCTTGGTCAGTGGCGTTGCGTGCGAGTATCCTTGAGTCCCACTAGTGCCAGTAAGCTCGTGTAAAGTGAAAAACATTCCAATTGAATATCGTTGCATCGCCACTTTAACTTTTCCCGGCAAGCTATTCATTATCTCCGAATAAAAAGAAAATGAAATTAAGTTATTAAAAAAAAATGGTAAGTAAAAGTAAAAATAAAAATAAAGCCAAGAACTATATTCCAATCTTCCCGAGCACTCGATTGGGGTAACGTCACGTGTATAATGTGACGTCATGCAGAGTCACGTACACGCACTTATCAGTCGGGCGACAACGCCCCCTCCGAGATCTACGTCAACACTGACTTTCTTGAATAAAGCACCCCCCCCCCCCCCTCTTTTTTTTTTATCAGGAATTCGGAGGCTGTTCTTGAATTTCTGAAGACAAATAACTTTAACAATCACACTGTCTTCAGCGTGGATGTTCAGGAACTCTTATATTCACTTCCCCATGGTTCCTTGCTCGACTCTGTAAGGTCCTGCATTGAGTCACATGATGAACTTTCGTTCCGGAACTCATGTGGGGTAACGTTGGAAAGTTTCCTAGAACTTCTCCATTTCTATCTTAATTCCACTTTCATAGGGTGGCAAAATGGGGTTTATTTACAAAAGTCGGGTGTGTGCATTGGCTCATGTGTAGCAGCGGTTTTAAGCGATATTTTTCTTTCGGGTGTTGACCGTGCTATTGAGTCTTCCATTGATCCTACCTACGACTGTCACACAAGTGTTTAGATATGTGGACGACTTCCTGCTGGTGTACAAAAAGACGGTCGATGATGATGTTGTCTGTAAGACAATGGACATTTTCCACAAATGTGGTTTAGGACTTGTCTTTACCTGTGAAACGCCAAAGGAAGGAATTTTGCAATTTCTGGACCTTTCGCTTTCCCTACTACCCAATCACCTGTGCTGGACCTTTTCCCCTCGTTCCAAGAAAGGCATCCTAAACTACACGTCCTCTCACTCCAAAGTCGTTAGAAGGGTTATAGCTATGTCATGCCTTACAAGCGCCTTAAATAAGTCTTGTTTTCATAACCTCCAATGTAGTTTTGAAGCACAAATTGAGAGGCTGACATCCTCGGGCATTCCAATGCAGGTGCCGACTGAGGTAGTGGGAACACTGGTCAAGAGTGAAGGGAGCTCAAAAACCTAAGCCCGCTTTTGACAAAAAAAGAATTGTGGTCGTCCCGTATATGCATAAAATTTCCCACAATCTTAAAAAGGTGGCTAGCCGTTACGGGGTCCTTTTAGTGATGTCAGCCCCCGAAACACTGGCTCAAATTTGTCAAAAAGTTCATGCTAAGGTAAACAATTTAAAAAAAAAAAAAATTACACCATCTTCCCGAGGGGAACTATGGGGTGATGTGGAGCATCGTTCCATCACACTTCATCTGAAGAACGGAGTGAAGTGGAGTCAGCAGCGGTGAACTGAACGCGCACAGAAATTGGTTTGCTCTTTATGTTTATACAGCCTTGATGGAGATGCGCCTCAACGGGTAATCGGTCTCTTAGCTGTCGAAGAGAAATTTAGCCAGTGCAGTACAACCGCTAACCTGGGATTTTTAACGTGCATCACGCAGTAGTGATTACAAGAACGCGTGCCGGTACGAAACTCATCCAGATCGAAACGGGCGGGGGCGGCGGGGACTCGAACCCAAGAGGTTCCCAGCGCAAGCTTTCGCTCCACGCTCCGAGCTGAGACGCGTTGGCCCACTCGGCCACTTCCTCCCCTTCTTTTTTTTTTTTTTTATTGCTTGCTTAGACAAGAACACAAACAAAGCCACATGGATAAAAACAAATGCTCGACGGATGGCCGAAGTGCATGAGGGTTAAAAATTTCTCATATTTTCTAGCACATTCGGTACTGACACACAGTCAGGTGAGCACTTCAGCGTGGCATAAACTGAGTTCAGTCTGCGGACCGTTTCCACGAAATACATCCACACAGGACGTGCATCAACATCCGCATGCCGCACAGCCATTCTGCTTTGCCAAATCGCGCGCAAACCCAAAACCATAATAAAATCAACAGGAGTTTCACCATCTTTGTCAAGAGGAAGGAATCTAATGCCTTGCGGCGTTAACGGTAACTCTTTTTTGATAGTCCTCTGAAGGACATCCCAGAACAGAAAAGCGTCCCAGCAGTCTAAAAATACGTGCTCTATGGTCTCAGATTTCTTGCACAGAAAACAATGAACACCCCATGGAACAAAAATGTTTTTCTGCTGAAGCAAAACTTTCACGGGGAGGGTGTTTGTGTGTAAGTAAAAGAAAAAAGTTTTTATACCAGGTGGGATTGCCATCTTTTTAACCCGGGATAACACGTCTTGCCAGGACTTGCCCGGAAAATGGACAGGTACAAAGGGATGGGGAAAACAGTTTCAATGATATCACGCGTTAAACGCTCACGCGTGACACCCGACAAGTATTCAAGAGAGAAACGAACGCACAGAAAACGGAAAGCCTCCACCACTTCTCTAAGAAAACTACCAATGTTGCGCTGTTTCCGACAACACGATGAAACGACAAACAAAGGAATTTCATCTGACAGTCTGGTCTGAATTACAGCTCGAAGAAATGGATTTCATTGGTCCCTAGGAAACATGAAGCGCGACACAACCTGCCTGACAAAAATGTGTGACAATGACAACCCGCCATTTCTGACGTGACGAAACAAATTGTCCCGACAAATCCTTTCCCATCCAGACCGCCAGATGAACTCAGCAAAAACGCGGTGCAGCTTTTGCAGATTTACACGCGCGCACGCCAAGACTTGAAGCACATACAAAATTTTTGCAATTAAAAAGATGTTACAGACGGTGGCGCGCGTAAATATAGACAACTCCCACCCACCCCACTTACTACACCTATCGCGTGTTTCCTTGACAACATTTGACCAGTACGCCTTCGAGTTTTTATAATGCTGCAACGGTACTCCTAAATACTGCGTAGGCGTTGACATAAAATTGATATCTTGAAATATACGAGGCTTCGTGGCCCACGTTCCATGCCAAAGCCCGCAACACTTTTCCCAATGAACTGCCGCACCGGTCAGGTCGTAGTAATATTTTAGGTCACGAACGGCTTGCACAATACTTGCTTTGTCTCAACAGAAAATTGCGACATCATGGCCACTTCCTCCCCTTGAACGCGCGCAGCGCGCTACCGCTGCTTATATTCACACTTGAAGGAGAGGAGACTAGAGGAGGAGAGTTGCGCATTCGCGCGCGGTGTGAGTAGAAGCGAACGGACGCGAAGTGCACGCAGCTGGTAGAGAGAGAGAGAGCGGAGAGAGTAACGCACAGCTTTTGGAGAGAGGGAAGGAGGAGAGTTG